TTTTTCATGTATAACCTGCCCCCACGTATAAGACACCCCCTATTTTGGGGGACTCCAAATTGAGAAAATGGGGGGGGAGAGATTGTATCTGTGTATAAGACGACCCACAAATTTGAACCTATTTTTAAAATAAAAAACCCTAGTCTTGTACACGGAAAAGTACGGTATCTCTTGAGGCTGTCAGCCAACCTTTTCTCTTGGGCCCAGAGTCCTCAGCTCCCTTGGCCAGAGCAGCTGCCCCTTTAGACATCTCTGACAGTCGCTCAACAAGGCAGGGAGCTTCAGATCAGGAATGCTGTCCTGCCAACCTCACGGTTCATGCAAGAGACCCCAAGCGCATAAAATTCAAATCTTTCATACATTTACCTACATAGAATCATAGAATTTGGGAGTTGGGTCATCTCAAGGAAAGCATCTATGGCAGATGCCCATCCAACCTCTGCTTAGAAGCCTCCAGAGGAGGAGAGTCCACGTGGAACATGTCTGCAGTTACACTGGCTCCGTGTTTATTCATTCTCCCCCCTCTTATCTTCTCAGCAGCAGCAGTTTCTAACCAGCACCATGCTCTCTGAGCGGTCTCTTGCCCGCCTTTCAACCTTTTGCCTTCGTTTCCAGGTTCCCCATTTCAATGGTCACCCAACCACAGATTTAATCACACATCTACCACACCTCACTGACTTCCCCAAACTTACTCAACCGCACCTTCTTTAACATGTTACATTAGCATGCTAATGCAAGCATTGCCATTTTATTTTTTGTAATTTTCCAGAACTCTCTTTCTCTCTCCCGCTCACTCCGTTTCCATGCTGACAAGGACTGAACAGGAATGCTTTTGTGCCACTCATGTTCCCCCGCCACAGCCATTTGAGGAAGCGCATGGAGCTCTCTGGCCAACAGGGCTCTTGATTCTTCTGCAGGCCTCCTCTCAGCATTCCTGGCTGGCTCTGAGCCCACCTTTCCCATCTTCTTACTCTTCCTGATGCTAACAGGGAGGCAGACCCCGATGGCTCCAGCACGACCCCCTTCCTCCTCGCAGGAGGTGACTCATCTGGACTTGGCGGCTGGTCCAGGCACTCCTGGAAGGGGATTCCCAGAGCTGCAGGCCTGAACTGCCAGGTGTTGGGAAGAGCTGCAAGAAGGGAGCTTGTCTGTGGGTCAGACACAAACCCAAATCGTGTCTTTTCCCCCAACACACACACACACACAGGGAGAACTCCTATTTCTCCCCAAACCAATGACCTAGAAGCTGCTCTTCTGATGGTGAAAACTTGAGTCCTCTTTCTCTAAGGGATGGTCATATTTTACAACAACAACATCATAGCTTGCTGGATCGGGCCCATCTAGTCCTGTTCTCAAAGGGGCTGAAGAGTTGCCTGTGGGGAGCCAGCAAGCAGGATTTTAGCACCAGCAGGGGCAGAACTAGATGTTTGCAAACGTGGCCCCCGCCAAGGGCACCCCCCACACACAGGGCTGCTGAAATCATGCTACTCCGCCTGAACTTTCTTCCGTTAGTCCTGAGTCTTTTGGGGGTTTTGATGATTGCAGAGGTATTGCTCAAGACCTGTTTATCAGTGGTGTGCAAGGCTTACTTGGGCAAACACCCACCTTGTGTAAGACTTCAGTGTTGAAGTTTTTAATTAAAGTGGAAATGTCTCCCCCTGCCCCACCCCCAAAGCACAAGGTGTCAGTTTTGCCCACTGTGAATCATGAAAACTTTTGCTCAGAATCCGCTAGGGACTAGGGCCTTGGTAGCCCTGGTCAGTTTAGGTATATGATGTAGGTTTAGCAGGGTCAGTCTGGAAGCTGCATCTGTGTGGGTGGAATGTATAAGAAGAGGCTTGCAAACCAGTCTTCTTGTTCTTCTAGAGTTGAGGGGTCATTTAGTCCAACTGCAATGCAGGAATGCAGTTGCTCTGTGCCATGGAACAGATGGATTCCTCCATCTGCTTTATTTCCACACATAAATCACTACCCACCAGTGAGCTTGACATTGACACCAGGAAAGGTCCGAGAACAGATAATTCAACAGTCAGTCTATGAGAACTTAGAAAAGGATGCTGTGATTACTAAGACCCAACATAGGTTTCTCAGTGATAAGTCATGTCAGATGAACTCAATTTCTTTCTTTTGATGGAATAACAAGCTTGGTAGATCAGGGGGATGCTGTGGACATAGCGTATCTTGATTTCAGTAAGATCTTTTGACAAAGTCCTCCATGATATTCTCTCGAGGAAGCTGGTAAAATGTAGGTTGAACAAGGTAACTGTTAGGTGGATTTGTAGCTGGTTGGCTGCTTCCATTGGCTATGGGTTGTCTATGATGTCACAAAAGCACCTGTCAGTTGCCTGGCTATAAAGGTGGCCTCTCCCTCTTCCCAGCCCAGACCTTGGTGGGCAGCAGCTCTGGGGGGGTCTTCTTCCTCAGGGAGGCAAAATGGCAGGAGGAAGGAGGCACTCATTACAAATACAGATAGGTAGCCGTGTTGGTCTGCCATAGTCAAAAATAAAAAAATTCCTTCCAGTAGCACCTTAAAGACCAACTAAGTTAGTTCTTGGTATGAGCTTTCGTGTGCAAGCACACTTCTTCAGATACTCTGAAGAAGTGTGCATGCACACGAAAGCTCATACCAAGAACTAACTTAGTTGGTCTTTAAGGTGCTACTGGAAGGAATTTTTTTATTTTTGACTCATTACAAATATTATGCCTGAATGTATCTGAAATATATTCGGAGTCGAGTGTGGATTTCATGCTCTTTATTCAGCTCATAGTAGGGAGGAATGAATGTTCCCTCAAAATATCTGCTTTATATACGTTATTTACACAATGGGCCCCAAGTGATTGCCTAATTCCGGAATTCTCCTGTAGGCCAATCAGGTTGTGGATTCACTTCCACCTGGACCTGGATTGGATGACTCCTGCAGACCAATCAGACTGCTGCATTCTGAATCCTATTGTTCTAGGACCAATCAGACTGCTGCATTCTGAATCCTATTGTTCTAGGACCAATCAGACTGATGCATTTTGGATCCTATTCAACACCATCCTTTCGACTTGACAGCTCAGGGAATATACCTAGCTTTATAAATTCGTAGAAAATCCATACTTTAACTGGGTCTTCTCATTCCAACACCATTTTAACCCTTAAAGAAAGGTGAATTTGGGCTCCACTTCCTTCCATGAACCAAGAAGCGGGAAGCCATGTAGGCAGCAGGAACAGGGCATCCCGCCATAATTCCCCAAGCGTGAGAGAACAGACACGGCCCCCCACCCAGGGAGCGACCAGGGGGGCAACACTGGACATCCCCAGAGGCAGTTGAGCAAGTCCAGTGTTCTGAAAGCCCATCTCCAGACAAGTCCTGAGGGCAAGGAGATGTCAAGAGTTTTATTGTTCTTTTGGTGATGGGGACTTAAGGGGTGTTGGGAAAGGGGTCTGAGAAAGTGACCTCATGTTGGACTTGTTTACCCCCCCCCCCACCCATTTGTGACATGGTAGTGATGTAGTGATGATGTATCAGTGATGCCTCTCGAAGTGTATTCTGGGGGAAAGAGGGAAGGTTTAAAAGAGGAGGTCACCCCTTACTCAGGGTTCTTACTCCTTTGGAGACCTGTTGTGCAACAGTAAAGATCATGGTCTACTGACTGCTGTTTTGTTCCAAATTACTTGGCTGGAACTTCCTTCTTTTACTGACTGCATGGACCCACAGGGGACTTGCACTTCGATGAGCTGGGCTGTTGAGTGGTCTCTCACCCCGGAATTTTTTTCATAACAAGGCCAAAAAATAATAAAAAGGAGGTGAGTTTAAAGACAAGGCACGAAGGTGAATTAGGACAACCACTGGGCAGCCTAATATGTCTAAACAACACATTTAAACCTAGTTTAAGCCAAATCCAGACTTGCTTAATTATTCTGAGCAGTGTAAATCTCCAAGGGACTGGAACTTTCTGGACTCCTAGAACTCTAAGACTCTGTCCCCTCCAACTGGGCGCAGACTCTGACCTGCAAGAGGAAGTAATATTTGACCCTAGGCAGTGCCAAGTGATTTGAATATATGAAGCCTCCAATTTCTCATTTTACACATGTTTGCAACAAACACTAAAAGCCATATTTATTTTGGCCACATCCCAGCCATGCCCATTAAAACCCAAAGTCAATAGTCTGAAGAAGCATTGATAACATCAATGTCAAGAGGCTCTCTTAAGAATTTCACAGCAACCTTCTGGATCAGACCAGAGGTCCAGCTCCTCACCCAGAATCCTGTTCTCTCCGTTGCCAACCAGGTGCCCATGGAAAGCCCACCAGAAGGAGAGGTGTGAAACAGCGCTCTCACTACTTGTGGTTCCCAGTTACTGGCCTTCAGAGGAGGAAGAACATCATCACCATGACTAGCAGCCATCAAAGGCCTTAGTTGCCATCTGGCACTCAACTGCCATAGGTCACAGAGTGTGGTGGTCATGGCAGGGCTCAGGAAACCCCACACTGGCTGCGTCCAATACAATGGTACCTCGGGATGCGAACGGGATCTGTTCTGGAGCCCCGTTCGCATCCCAAATGGAACGTAAGATGTGACGGCGCATCTGTGCATGTCATGTTTTGCCGCTTCCGCGCATGGCGTCATTTTGAGCATCTGCGCATGCACGAGCGGCGAAACCCGGAAGTAACGGGCTCCGTTACTTCCAGGTTGCCGCTGAGCACAACTCAAACGTGCTCAACCCAAAGCACATTCAACTAAAGGCATTACTGTACTCACTTTAGCATCCACCTGCCCTCTAAATGCAACAAGGATATATTGCTAAACTCAAGGCAGATCCTCTGGTGATAAGGTGGTGCAAATTCCCCCTCTTGGCAGAGATGTAGAAACCACACAAGGCATGTGAGAAGACGGATGTAAACAGTGGATCTTGATAGCCAAATGCCCTCCGTCAAAGTCTTCCTGATTGGTTGGGTTGTTCTGAGCCAAACAGGAACTGCCTGTTTGAAAGGGGATAAAACCAGGAGGGACAGGACTCAGCTGGAAGCAGGGAGGTCTCTGTCTCAGTTTCAAGAGAAAAACCTGGGCTTGCCAAGCCACCAAGAAGGACAACAGGCGCTGATCCCAAGAAAGAGAGCCAAGGTAAGTCTGGGAAATCCATTGGATGTGAGCCGTGAAGCCTAGAACATGCCTAGAAGTCTTGACCCTGAATGGGCAGATCTGAAATGGCATTGTTATTGTTCAGGGCTTATATAGGACTATCAGGAATCTCTGGAGGACGACCGTTCTCCTGCCCAACGTGGTCCTTGATTGACCTGAATGCCTCTTCAGCACTCCTGGCTGCAAGCAAAGCCCTCTGAGGCTGCTAAGGGGGCCAGACCCCCAGGGCTCCTGCAGGCAGCTGTCCCTCACTGCCATCTCCCCTCTGCCTTTGCAGGATGCTCCCCTCCTGGACTTGGCTGCTGGCCCTGACGCTCCTGTCAGGCCAGGTGGAGGCCCAGAGCTGCAAGCCAGAACTGCAAGGCATTGGTAAGACATGGGGGACGCAAGGGCCAGTCTATGGGTCAAAGCAACACTTTGGAGTTTTATTACAAGCAAGCATGAGACAGACTTTATTAAGTAAATAGGATTCCATTTCGGTCTGTTGGCCCTGCTGTTTTTGGAGAGAGAGACCCTGGGTCAGCCTCATAGGATCATATAACTGTAGAGTTGAGAGGCACCCCAGGGGTCATCTAGTCCAGCCCCCTGCATTGCAGGAATCTCAACTCAAGCGCCCAGGACAGGTGGCCATCCAACCTCAGCTTAAAAACCCCCAGGGAAGGAGAGTCCACCGTCTCTCGTGGGAGCCTGTTCCACTGCCAAACAGCTCTTACTGTCAGAAAGCTTTTCCAAATGTTTAGTAGGAATCTCCTTTCTTGTAACATAAGGCCATTGGTTCAAGTCCTACCCTCCAGAGCAGGGGAAAACAAGCTTGCACCATCTTCCAGGTGACAGCTCTTGAGATATTTGCAGATGGCTCTCATATCTCCTCTCAGGCTCCTCTTTTCCAGGCTAAACATATTCAACTCCTTCAACCGTTCCTCATAAGGCTTGGTTTCCAGACCTTTGATCATCTTGGTCCCCCTCTTCTGCACACCTTCCAGCTTGTCAACATCCTCCTTAAATTATGGTGGCCAGAAGTGGACACAGTATTCCAAGGCAGAAGAGAGTGGAATGATTACTTCCCTTGATCTGGACCCTAGACGTCTACTGATGTAGCCTAGAATAGCATTCACTTTTTTTTTGCTTCTGCATCATTCATCTTAAGTTGTGGTCCACCAAGACCCCTAGATCCTTCTCACAGGAACTGCTAGTAAGCGAGTGCAATTCAATAAAAAGTCTCATTTTGTTCTGTAAGTACCTCCTCGTTTCTCTGAGCTTCTGTGCGGACGTGGGGCTTCCGTCTCTCAAGAAGGGCACATGGCTGTGGTATAATTAAGAAATGCTACCCCATCAGTGGTAATGTATTCTTTAGTGTCACTGCTTGTTCTGAGCATGGAAGAAATTTAAATTAAAAAATAATAATGAGCCTGCTGTTGCCTTCCTGTCCTACTTGGGGGCTTCCCAGAAGTATTTGCGTGGCCACTGCGAGAGCAGGTGCTGGATGAGACGGGCTGATCTCTTATTGCATTATTATTTGTCCTTGTCCCCATCTTCTTTCTCGTCATTCCCTGACTCCAGCTCGCAACCTGGCCAGAGGCCACCCAACCTGTCAGTCCTCCGTCTTCCCCCACGAGATTATTGGAACAGCAAGCAAAGCCGTGGATGGGAACTGCGGTGGGGACTGGTATAAAATGGGCACCTGCACCCACACGCAGCTGGACACGGAGCCCTGGTGGCACGTGGACTTGGGCCAGCAGTACGCCATCTCTGCTGTGGTGGTGAAGAACCGCGGGGACTGCTGCGGTGAGAGACTCCAGGGAGCTGAGATCCGCGTGGGAGACTCTGTGGCTGACCATGGCAAGTCCAACCCCCTGTAAGTTCCAGCTGCCTCTTCCCAAAATCTCCTTCCAGAAATCTCCCTTCTTGTAACTTGGAGTCCTTGGTTCAAGTCCCCCTTCCAGCCTAGGAGAAAACAAGATTGCTCCATCTTCCAGGTGACAGCTGTTCAGATATTTGGAGATGTTTCTCATATTTCCCTTTCTAGGCTAAAGATACCCAATTCCATCAACCGTTCCTCATTAAGACTTGGTTCCCAGACTCTTGGCCATCTTGGTCACCCTCCTCTACACAGGTCCCAGCAAACACGATGTGTACAGTTTTAATTGTACCAACGTTTAATTGGGGTTTTTGGTAATGATTGCTTTTCTGTTTGTTTTGCAGTTCTTCTTTTTATCTGTAAGCCTGTCACGGTCCGGTTCACAGGCGATCAAAGTCCCGGCTGGGGACGTTGGGACCGGGGGCAAGATGGAGGGGTGGGAGCAGGAACGGGGGTCCAAAAGCCAGGAGTCAGGAAGCCAAGAGTCCAAGGGTTAGAGAGCTGGGAGTCAAGAAGCCAGGGGTCCGAGGATCAAGAAGCAGGGAGTCACGAAGTCAGGGGTCCGAGGATCAAGAAGCAGGGAGTCAAGAAGCCGAGGTTCAAGGATCAGGAAGCAAGAAGCCAAATGCAGCAAGGCAGGGAACATGCTGCTGTGGCAAAGAGCCGAAGGGAAATGCTGACCTTATATCCCTTCCCTGCTCTTGCCACCAGGTGCAGTGAGTTACAAATCGGCCTCACCTGTGTGGCTGCGCCTTGCCTCTTCAGAACAAACTTAGGAAGGCCCCAGTCCTGCAGAGTCCTATTGGTCACAGGGCCTGGCTCCTGCATGCACACCTGACAAAGCCATGCTGAGTCCCATCAGGGGAAAAGATAGGGCATAAATAAAAACACCCCCCACCCCAATCCCTCCTTCAGGGATGGAGTCCAGGCTTTCCTTGGTCCCCTCTCCTCTGCCCGACCTCTTCAGCACATTGCCAGTTCACTTCGCTTCTCCCTCCTCTGTGAAGTTGTGCTTTCCTTAGCCAAAGCTCTGCTCCACCATCAGCTCCTCACCCCCCTTGACCCCTGCGGCCCCCTCCTCCTGGGTCCTCCTCGGACTTCACCTGGCCGCCTCCTGTCTGCTCTCTTCGGCCAGAAGCCCCTCGCCACCAGGCGCTGCCCTCCCTCCAATCCCTCCACTCAGAGATCCGTTATACGCCCCTTGTCCTGCCTTGGCACAGCCATCTGGCCCCTCAGTCTGTGTAAAGACCTGGGCATGCAGTGGACCCTTAAAACAACGCCAGCGGTTAATAATGAAAATTGGGGAATGTGGGAAGCCACCTTTCAGCGATAGGAATGGGAGGGGGCTGACATTTGGGAGTCCTTTCACATACAGCTTTGAGATTTTTCCCTTTAAAATATAAAGCGGCTTAGAAACAAAACGTATGAATAAATGTATGAATGTCCCCATAGACTGAGCTGTTTTGAATTCACCTCCACTTTCTCTCTGCAGCTGTGGGACCATCACAGACACCAGCCTTGGCTCCGTCAGCACCTTGTATTGCAATTGGCTCCAGGGCCGCTATGTGAGCATCCACATCCCGGGGAGGGCCGAATACTTGACCTTGTGCGAGGTGGAGGTCTATGGCACCAAGGCAGAAGACCAGTGCTAGGGATCCGCAGTCTCTGCGCGTGTGTGTTGGCGGGTGAGGAAATAAAGAATTATTCTCTGGTAAACTTCCTCTGAATTGGCTTGTTTTGTCTCTCCCACATCCCTCCCTGTGAGAGAGATAGATAAACTTGATTCGCATTAGCCAATGGCCAGGGCAACATGAAACAAGCAATATATACAAATAAAAAGACAGCAATGGGTAAAAAGGGCAATCAAATGACCAAGATTATTGTTTGGATCCTCCCTGTGAGAGATGCTGTCCCTTGGCCTGCGGCACAGAACAGGCCACCTGCCGTCTGAGGTTGACCCACAAGTCTTCATTAGACCCACACTCAGGCCTTGAGACTTCATCCCAGAGAGGAAAGGGTCAAATCATAGAATTGTAGAGTTGGAAGAGACCCTAATCCAAGTCGCTGCCATGCAGGAATCTCAGCTGAAGCATCCTTGAAAGATGGCCGCCCAACCTCTGCTTAAAAACCTCCAAGGAAGGAGAGACCATTCCAAAGTCAAGCTGGGCATAATATTGGGGGCTTTTTAGCTGAGAAAAAGAAGGGGGGCATAATAAGAGGTGTGTGGAAATTAAGTATAGCACAGAGAACGTGGATAGAGAAGAGATTTTCTTCCTTTGTTCTTAACCAAAGCACTCAAGAAAAGAAGGGATTTCTTCACAGTTAACCTGTGGAACTCCCTCCCACTTGAGGCAGTAATGGCCACCAACCTGGATGGCCATTATCGGAGAGGATTAGGCAAATGCGTGGAGGATTAGAAGGCTATCACTGGCTCCAAACATCATGGCTGGTGCCTTGGAATAATGGGAATCACAGCGGGCAATTCCAGGGGAGTTTTGCCGAGGGGAAATTCTGCCAAGCAAAGCCTGGAAAAAGAAGCCAAAGTCTCTGAGACCCGGGCAGTTGCAGAGGCCAGAAGAGAGCAACTCAGAGAAGGAGGGGTCCCTTTGGCACAAGGGGGGGGCAGAGAGCAAAGGTGGTGACTAGTGATGGGGAACTCAGATGGAGTTCTGACCCCTTCCACACCCCACAGGCTGTGCACCCCAGGGAGCCTTCCCCCCCACACACACCAGGGCAGGCAACCACAGACCCCCCTGAACAGATCATCCCAGGGACTCTAAACCCCACGAAGCTGCTTTGCTGCCCCCTGGCGGAGTCACTCGGCTGCTGCTAGCCTTGCCTGCTACCTCCTCGGTAGCAGCGTCAGAGCCTGCAGGATCAGGCCAGAGTCCTCTTCCCCCGGTGCCAGCGGGAAAGCCGCAAGCCTGGGATGACCCCCCACCCCTTATGTTTTGACACCCGACTGTGTTGTCCTTGAGGTGGGAGGGGCCACAGCCCAGAACACAGGCAGGTGGGCTCAGGGAAAGTCCCTGGCCCCTCCAGGTAGAGCAGGCCTAGGCATAGGCTCAGGAGGTTCAGAACAGGAGAATGGCCTGCTATTCCTTTTCCCACAGCGGCCAACCAGAGAGCAGCACATGAGCGCAAGAGCAACTCTCCCCTCCCCTGGTTTCCAACCACCGGGATTCAGAATCCTTTCCACTTCAACATTAGAGGGCTCTACACCCATTCCCAACCTGCGGAGCACTCTAAGATCTAAGGTTTCAGCTTAAATCTTATATACTGTATTTTTCGCTCTATAGGACACACTTTTCCCCCTCCAAAAATTGGAGTGAATGTTGGCTCCTTGGCTTCAGTGATAGCAATGCGAAGCCTCCGAAGTGCAAAGGGAGCGCTCCCTCTGCGCTTCGGAGGCTTCACGTTACTTTCACTGAAGCCTGGAGAGCGAGAGGCGTCGGTGCGCACCAACCCCTCTCGCTCTCCAGGCTTCAGGGATAGCCGGGAACTCGCGCTGCGCTCCAGAGGCTTTGGGTTCCTTTTGCTAAAGCCAGGAGAGCAAGACTCTCCTGGCTTCAGCAGAGAGGGAGAGCTGCGCAGCGCCCCTTCAGCCAAGCGGGAGGAGAAATGGAAGGGGCTCCGTTTCTCCTGCCGCTTCGCTGAAGGGGCGCTGAGCAGAGAGGGGGAGAATTTTTTTTCTTGTTCTCCCCTTCTAAAACAAGGTGCTTCCTATGGTCGGGTGCGTCCTATAGAGCGAAAAATACGGTATTACTTGTTTCCCTTGTGGCAGGCGTTTCAAGCGTCTGGATTCCATTTTTTTCATGGTGTTTTGATTTTAGGGCACTTTTGATTTAAAAAGCCATCCACTCCACTTCTTTTCCTAACCACAACAGTAACACAAACTTGTTTGAGAGTGTTGTATACACCTTGACTCTTCCTTCTTTCAAAGTCAATAAGGGCCCATCAATTAACCTCTTCCTGATGGGTCCTAAACTTCTACCAAGGTTCATGATAACAGCTTTAGGAAATTGTGTGTTGGGGTAGAGAGAGAGAGATAATCTTCAGTGTTAACCCTTCCCTGCACTAATATCAGATGTGGGGTGCAATCAGGAGTTCTGGTCCTGAATAGTGAAGAATAATGCACACAGGCGGGATTTCTACATCCATGTCATCAAAGAGCAGAATTCTCTGGCCTCCCTCGTTGTGCGACTAGTTCTCTTTGTGAGGGATCCCTGGCAAATAGGACTTGCAGTCTCCACAAGGCGTCATTTGGCCTCCTCTATGGCTCTGGCAAAATCACAGACCCCCTTGGTTCTGACGAACAAACTGGAGAGACAAAAGAAGGCTGCTCAAAGGATATTTATTGGACAACCAACACCGATTCCATCAGTTCTGCCAATGCCCCTTTCCACGCGGCGCATGGCTGCTTATTCCAAAGGCGCATCCTCCACCTTTGTCCCATAAACTTCCACCTCACACAAGGTCAGGATAGCTGGCTCTCCCGGGTGGTTCACGCTCACATAGCGACCCTTCATCCCCTGGCAATTGATGGCACTGATGGAGCCACGATTATAATCTGTAATCTTCCCACAGCTGCAGAGGGGAAAGGGAGGTCAGCCTTGCGGTGGAAGCAATTCAGAATGACTCCATCTATTTCTATGGCTGTGGTAGCCCTGTAGTACAGCTGCCTGGGATTCCTAAAGCACTCCCTGATGGTACTCTCTGGACTTGACCATGCAGGTAGGAACAGAACCTCAGATTCCACCCCACACGGTCCATCTTGGAGGATCGCATGGTCAGTGTTGTTGTATGACAGGATAGCTAATCTGTGGGCCTCTGGATATTGTTGGGCTCTAGTCCCATCAACCAGCATGGCCGATAGCTATGGATGATGGGAGCTGTAGCCCAACAACATCTAGAGGGTCAAAGTGGGCAGCCCACCAGTGGGGTATGTACTAAATAACTGGTGCAGGGGGCAGGATGGAGAGGTGTCAAAGGGAACAGCTCAGCTTTGTGCTTGCTGAGGAAGATAGGTGTTATGTACTGAGTTGAATAGGATCCAAAAGGCAGCAGTCTAATTGGTCCTAGAACAATAGGATTCAGAATGCAGCAGTCTGATTGGTCCGCAGGAGCCACCCAATCCAGCTCCAGCTGGAAGTGAATCCACAACCTGATTGGCCTACAGGAGAATCCCGGAATTAGCCAATCATGTGGGGCCCATTGTGTAAATAATGTATATAAAGCAGACATTCTGGGAGAACATCCATTCTTCCTCTGTGGTTTAACCCACAGTGCCACCCACATGCGTGGCTTTAGCAACTAATCCACACCTAATGACCCACCTAAGTGGTACTCAGAATATCACTCAAGAAATCACTCAAGATATCCCTCAAGTAATTAAGGAACAAAAGAAGAAAAGGCACACTAGCCTGGGAACTTCCTCTCTGCCCAGAACATTGGAGGCTATACACCACACCCCCTCAACAGTATTTATAGGAACTCAAACACTGAGATCCTGCTCTGTTCCAGTAACAAGAAGCCGAAAGCACCAGCCTGAAGATGACGAGTGAGACCTCGTCGAAACGTCGCCTAGACACCCCAACTTTTACACGGGAAGACACCCGAGGACACCAAAACCTGCATTCCTGTACCCGTGAAAATCTACGAAAGCATATATATATATATATATATATATATATATTTGCTTTTTCAGGATCAGGCCAATATATATATTTGTGTGTGTGTGTGAAGCTAACTAATCCAGAGCAAGTGATCTTGAGGGTGTCTCCTGGGATGTAGTTGCTGAGGAGAGAGTGGGGAGGGGAGAGGCAACTGGAACTTACAGGGGGTTGGTCTTGCCATGGTCAGCCACGGAGTCTCCCACACGGATCTGGGCTCCCAGGAGTCTACTGCCGCAGCAGTCCATGCGGTTCTTCACCACCACGGTGGAGATGGAATACTGCTCCCCCAGGTCCACATACCACCACGGGGCATCTTCAGAGTTGGTGTGGGTGCAGGAGCCATGGAAGAAGATCCCGTCAGAGTTCCCATCGACAGCTTTGCCGGCTGACGGATCTCTTGGATGGGGGTAAGTGGAGGACTGACAGGCTGGGCGGCCTTTGGCCAAGTTGACAGCTGGAGCAACAGCTTGATGGAAAGAAGACGGGGAGAAGTAAGAACACAAGAAGAGCCCTGACGCAGCAGGATCAGGCCAAAAGGGCCCATCCTGTTCTCCCAGTCGCCACCCAGATGCTTCTACTTTTCCTTCATAGAAAGAACTAGCAGTTAACCTACAGATAACAGCAATGCCAATAAGCCAGGAATAAATGCCATTCTGTTTTACAAAATTTATATTGCATTTGCCAGTAAAACTTCCCACTAAATAATCAATAATTCTGGCAATTTGTGGGTGACCAGTTTCCAGGTGTGGAATTCATCAGTTCTGGATGGGGTTGTGATGAGGAACAGAGTTTAGGGAAATTCCTCAAGGCATCTTTCTTCCTGGAGCCTCATATGACCTCTGTGGCATGAAGAACCCATTATCACCTTAGGCTGGTACATCAACTGTGCCCTTTCTCAGACAGGGATAGTTGGGCTGCTGTGATTCATGCGTTGGGGATGTCACAACTGGACTACTGTAATGGGTCCCATGTGGGCCTTCCCTTGATGTTGGTCCAGAACCTGCAACTGGTGCAGAATATTTCAACCAGGTCCGCATGCAGACATATGACACCTGTGCTGAGGGAACTGCCAGTCACCTGCCAGGCCATATTCAGGGTCTTGTTTCTTCCCCCCCCCCAAATTTTTTTATTGACTTTCAACATTTAAAACATCCCATAAACACATACAAACATAAAAACAATCAACAAAGAAAACACAACAATAAACTAAACACATATAAAAAAGATTATTTCTTCTAATACCCAACTTCTTCACATTAATTGGTGACTTCCTCAAATCCCCTCTAACTGAATTTCATTATATCAGCAGGAGATGATTTTAGAAGAAGACATCCTCATTCCATTTATCCCATATTAACTCTGTTCATTTACAAACTTCTTCTCCTTTATTATTATTCCAATCTTTAATACTTACTAAGACCTATTCTTATTCTACCCCTAAGCCTATTTGATACTTCCAATAATTTTCTATTTATCTTATACCACAATATTTAGCTAAGCATTCTTTAAATTTCTTCCAGTCTTCTTGTGTCTCTATTCCTTCTGGTCGCGGATATGTTCAAGGTCTTGTTTCTAACATTCAAAGACCTAAATACCTTTGGGCCAGGTAACCCAAACATGCATAAACGTGAAGGATCTCTCAGATCAAGTGTCGCCAACCATTTTGGACCAGTGGCTACATTTTGCTGTGGATGCCAATTATGCCCTGGTTGGGGGGAGATTACATAACGCAAAATGATCAAGAGTATAATTATTGCTGCTTCTCCCCGCACTCTCAGGCAACCTTCTGTTTACTTTCTGCTCTCCCCTTGCATGGAACAGTCTGGGTCCTATAGCTTGACGCAGGGGGAAATTTCACTGTCCCATCATGGCTTGTCAGCTGATGGTTCAAGACTCGGTTCACCCTTCAGGCTTTGAAATGGATCATGGGAAAATATCACCCCCTACCCATTGAGTAAGAGGACGTCCAAGTTTTCACCTCTACCTCTCTTTCAAATCAGAACCAGTGAAGGCGGTGAAGGTCCTGTGTGAGTGTCTGGAGGCAGTTGGAGGATGGATGGTGGCTAATAGATTGAGGTTGAATCCTGACAAGACAGAAGTACTGTTTTGGGGGACAGGAGGCAGGTGGGTGGGGAGGACTCCCTGGTCCTGAATGGGGCAACTGTACCCCTGAAGGACCAGGTGCGCAGCCTGGGAGTCATTTTGGACTCACAGCTGTCCATGGAGGTGCAGGTCAACTCTGTGTCCAGGGCAGCTGTTTACCAGCTCCATCTGGTACGCAGGATGAGACCCTCCCTGCCCGCAGACTGTCTCACCAGAGTGGGGCATGCTCTGGTTATCTCCCGCTTGGACTACTGCAATGCGCTCTACGTGGGGCTACCTTTGAAGGTGACCTGGAAACTAAAATTAATCCAGAATGCAGTAGCTAGACTGGTGACTGGGAGCGGCCGCTGGGACCACATAACACCAGTCTTGAAAGACCTACATTGGCTCCCAGGATGTTTCCGAGCACAATTCAAAGTGTTGGTGCTGACCTTGAAAGCCCTAAACGGCCTCAGCCCAGTATACCTGAAGGAGCGTCTCCATCCCCATCGTTCTGCCCAGACATTGAGGTCCAGCTCCGAGGGCCTTCTGGCGGTTCCCTCCCTGTGAGAAGCCAAGATGTCAAAGAGAACAACAACTACCAGACTTTTAGACGAAATCTGAAGGCAGCCCTGTTTAGGGAAACTTTTAATGTTTACATTACTTTATTTTAATATTGCGTTGGAAGCTGCCCAGAGTGGCTGGGGAAGCCCAGCCAGATGGGCGGGGTATAAATATATATATTATTATTATTATTATTATTATTATTATTATTATTATTATTATTCACCATCACAAAGCCGCTTATAAGCTACTGGTTTGGGGAGGAATAAGAGTGATCACAGGGAGGGGAACCATTTAGCTTCGCCCACAGACCCACCCCACTTTCCCCTCTCTCTCTCCAGGTCTTACTAGAATGTTGCACTTCAGAATCGCAGCTCTGGGTCACCCAAAATCCGGCCAGGAACACCAGGGCCACCAGCCAAGTCCGAGTGAGGATCATCCTGCAAGGGGGAGAACAGAAGGCAGTGAGCGAGGAGCCAGTAATGGAGTCGGGGGGGGGAGCTCCCCTTTAGCACCATTGCAGGACTTGGATGATAGCTAAGAGTCCTGAATTCAGAATCTGTGACTAGGCTGGCCGTAGGAACTGTCCTTCTCCAAAGTGCTGGAGATCCCTAACAATCAATTAACAGGCTTTAAAAAAAGTAAATATACAGCTTTAGATCTACCCAATAAGGATCAGGACCTTCTTTTTTGCGGAGGAAGTTCTAGACCTCAAAGATCACATCCAGTGGGTTTTCTTGACTTACCTTGCCTCTCTTTCTCGGGATCTGCAGAAGCGTCTGTTGCTCTTGGTGGGACAGGAGTCACAGGTTCTTCTCCCCAAACTGGAACTGAGACTTCCCTGCTTCCAGAGGAGTCCTGCACCTCCAGGTTTTATCCCCTTCCCAATGGACAGCGCTTGCCTGACGTGGCTCAACTTGGCCAATCAGAAAGATGGTGACACCAGGATCTGGGGATCAAGATCAAATTTTGACATCCTTCATCTGAGCTGGGTCTGAGTGGGCTTGTGTGGTTTCTGACTCTCTCCCAAGAGGAAATAACGGCATCTCCTTAGCAGGAGATGATTTTAGAAGAAGACATCCTCATTCCATTTATCCCATTTAGAGGTCAGATGGGTGCCAAACTGAGCGCTGATACTGGCAGGTCCCAACCGCATCAGCTTAGCTCCAAAATGAACACTTTTTGGTCGGCCTTGTGGAAGGAGAATCATAGAATCATAGAATCATAGAGTTGGAAGAGACCACAAGGGCCATCGAGTCCAACCCCCTGCCAAGCAGGAAACACCATCAGAGCACTCCTGACATATGGTTGTCAAGCCTCTGCTTAAAGACCTCCAAAGAAGGAGACTCCACCACACTCCTTGGCAGCAAATTCCACTGTCGAACAGCTCTTACTGTCAGGAAGTTCTTCCTAATGTTTAGGTGGAATCTTCTTTCTTGTAGTTTGGATCCATTGCTCCGTGTACGCTTGTCTGGAGCAGCAGAAAACAACCTTTCTCCCTCCTCTATGTGACATCCTTTTATATATTTGAACATGGCTATCATATCACCCCTTAACCTCCTCTTCTCCAGGCTAAACATGCCCAGCTCCCTTAGCCGTTCCTCATAAGACATCGTTTCCAGGCCTTTGACCATTTTGGTTGCCCTCCTCTGGACACGTTCCAGTTTGTCAGTGTCCTTCTTGAATTGTGGTGCCCAGAACTGGACACAGTACTCCAGGTGAGGTCTGACCAGAGCAGAATACAGTGGCACTATTACTTCCCTTGATCTAGATGCTATGCTCCTATTGATGCAGCCCAGAATTGCATTGGCTTTTTTAGCTGCCGCATCACACTGTTGGCTCATGTCAAGTTTGTGGTCAACCAAGACTCCTAGATCCTTTTCACATGTAGAATGAGTTGTTTTGAACTTCTACCACTCCATGGCTCACCTCCATGTTCTCTGGGCAGCTGTGTCAGCATCACAAACACCAGCCTTGGATCCATCACTACCTTATACTGTAAATGGCTCTAGGGCTGCTCTGAGAGACTCCATCCACATCCCTGGACTGGCTAAGTGCTGTCTCACAGTGTGCATAGGGCCAAGAGACATGGCTGGTGAGGGAGCTACTGCAGTCCTCTGCAACACCTGTGCCATGCTCGTCTTCCTGGCTGAAAATGCGCACAAGTACGCGGGTGGCACTGTGGCTTAAACCACAGAGCCTAGGACTTGCCGATCAGAAGGTCGGTGGTACGCCGGCTCCCTTGACCAGTAAAGCGAGATGAGCGCCGCAACCCCAGAGTCGGCCACGACTGGATCTAACAGTCAGGGGTCCCTTTACACCTGCAGTAAGTGTGATCTAGCTGCGTTGCTGAAAGAGAAGGTAGGACAACGTGAGGCCTGCACACTTCAAGCTATTGGGCAAGATGAGGAATTTCTCAACAGAGCAGAGCAAAATGTCCTGAAACAGTGTTGAGGGTGAGGGGGGTCCGTAGGAATAAGGAAGACCACCCAGTGCTGGGGACAAGTCCCTGGAGGAACGTGACGCACACAGAAGCAGGACTCTTGGGAGTCATACAGATTTTAAAACGACCAAAAACCTTTTTAAATATAATTAAAAGTCCCTCACAGTAAGGTTGACTTTTCTGCTTCGATGCCCAGGCTCGGTAGCATTTTCGCAACAGTAGATTTTCCTACTCCAAAGATCAAGGCTGCTTTACAGCTGCAAAGACCACTCTTTCCCACAGCCGTCCTCTCTCTCTGGAGGTGGGGTCTCACCCCTGTGAAACACTTGGTTTGTTCTTCTTGAAGAACATACAGTGGTGCCTCGCAAGATGAAATTAATTCGTTCCGCGAGTTTTGTCGCCTTGCGATTTTTTTCGTCTTGCGAAGCACGGTGTCGGGAAAGTTTTGGAAAAGCTTCAAAAATCACCAAAGTCTTTAAAAACCTCAAAAAAGGCTACCACACCACGTTCTATGAGTTGCTCCTCGAAGTCAAGTCGCAACTGTATTAAGAAAAAGGAAACAAACTTGCAAGACATTTCCGTCTTGCGAAGCAAGCCCATAGCAAAAATCGTCTTGCGAAGCAGCTCAAAAAACAAAAAACCCTTTCGTCTAGCGAGTTTTTTGTCTTGCGAGGCATTCGTCTTGCGAGGTACCACTGTACATTTAAAGAAGATTGGAAAACGCTTATTGAATATATGGAAAAGAATTGTATACAGCTGAAAACGCTGGCAGCATTAATATAAATTCAACAGGGTAAATAAGTTATGTTGGATGCAATAATAGTGGAATACTGAATGGTATAGTTTTTTTTATAAAATGTGCAGGGATTTATGATATGTAAAATGAACCATGGAAAGAGATTGCAGTCGTTAACAGTCATCAACAGGTTTACCGTACCCATTGAGTCAATCACCCATATCCCGCTACCCTTCTGAGTAATACCCCTCACACCCTCTCACTATATATAAGGGTCTGGTGACTTCTGCTTCAGTGTATCTGAAGAAGTGTGCATGCACACGAAAGCTCATACCAATAACAAACTTAGCTGATCTCTAAGGTGCTACTGGACAATTTTTTAAATTTGTGACCACCTTGTGATCCTCAGTTGAAGGGCAATATAGAAATGTTAATCGTTATCATCAAAATGCTGTTGGTCTGTGGGGGAAATTCCATCCCCACAGATTCCTCAGCCACAGAATTTTGCATGTTTCCTCACCCAAACACCATGGGAAACTGGGCTTTGGTCCTGTACGGGAACCATGAACTCAGCCTCTGAAATTAGGGTCCGACAGCCTGAAGAATTCTAAGAAAGACGGTGGGAGGGCTGAGGTTAAAGACAGGCAGGGAGGCGAATTCGAAGAGCCGTTGAACAGCCTGGCATGTCAACAACATGTAAACCTTGTTCAATTCAGATTTGGACTTGCTGAATTACCATGCAGTTGTCATTCTCCAAAGAACTGGAGGTCCTCATGGATTTGTAACATGCCCTCAAGAACAAAAAATCCAGTTTCTGAACTCTTTGAACTCTGGGACCTACACCTACACCCCACCCCCATCTCCAACTGGGTGCTGGCTCCCTCCCACAGGAGGAAATAGCATTCCTCTCTAGCAGGTGCCAAAGGAAAGGCTTCAAATTATCAGTTAATGCATGTTTGGAACAAGCAAATCCTAAAATGAGTGTTTATTTTGGCAGTGTCCCTTGCCCATTAAGCTCCAGAGTCAACAGTCTTGTGGAGGGAGCGTGGATGTGCTTTGGTGATGCAGTCATAGATGGGGAGGGACTGAGACTCAACATCAGTTTACCTGTGTGAGGTCAAGAGGGTCTCTTAAGAACTTCAGATGAACCTTCTGGATCCAACCAGAGTCCAGAGTCCTGCTCTCTCTCTCTCTCTCTTTTTTAAAAGTTTTTTATTTATACATCAAGAAAAGCAAACAAACAAAAAACACAAATACCGAATTACACACAAATTACAAAAATAACCACAGACACTTAATATTCTTAGCAAACAATAAAACATCTATTGGTCTTAACACTAAAGACCCAACCTCCCGTCTATTCCATACTTCAAATTCATATTACTAATTGCCAATACACTTTTTTTTCATAATTAAACTTATTCTCATTAAATCTAATTTCTTATATCTACCTTGCAACTATTGCTGAAGTTCCTCGAATGCTGCAACAGAATTTAAACTACTATATTTATTTTTCAGATATTCTTTAAAAACCTCCCATTTAGAAACAAATTCCTGTTTTGATTTATTTTTTATTTTTTCTGATAAACCATCTAATTCAGCATATTCTGTCAGCTTTTGGATCCAATCTTGAATAGAGGGGATTTCATTACTCTTCCATTTTGCTGCGATCAAAACTCTTGCTGCCGCCGTCGCATATAAAAAGATACCCTTCCTCTTTTGTGGAATATCCAAATCTGTTATTCCCAGGAGGTAGGACTCTGGTTTTTTATTGAAAGAGATCTTTAGCATTTTTTGCAGTTCTGCATGAATACCCTCCCAGAATACCTGTATTTTCCTACATATCCACCACATATGGTAGAATGTTCCTGAGTCTCCGCATCTCCAACAATTACTTGATACATTTTTATACATTTTTGAAAGCTTCCATGGTGTTAGATACCATCGATGTTGCATTTTTTGAAAGTTCTCTCTAATCGTGTAACAATTTGTGAATTTCCAATTGATCTTCCATAAATTTTCCCATTGGGCCATGGTTATTGAGTGGCCAAAATCCTGGGACCACCTCACCATTGCCACTGTTACCTCCTCCTCCTTGACTGTCAGAGTCCTGCTCTCTCAATGACCAAGCAGATGCCCGTGGGAAGCCCACAAGGCACAGGGCAGTGCAACAGAGCTCTCGCTACTTGTGATGCCCAAGAAATTGGCATTCAGAGGTAGATCGTCTATGACAGGGGAGGAAGAACAGAGCCATCTTGGCCAGTAGGCATTGATGCCCTAGCTGCCCTCTGGCACTCCACTTACATAGGTCATTGTTGTTGTTTAGTCGTTTAGTCGTGTCCGACTCTCCGTGACCCCCTCGACCAGAACACGCCAGGCCCTCCTGTCTTCCACTGCCTCCCGCAGTTTGGTCAAACTCATGCTGGTAGCTTCGAGAACACTGTCCAACCATCTCATCCTCTGTCATCCCCTTCTCCTTGTGCCCTCCATCTTTCCATCAGAGTGACTAAATGACTAAACAACAACAACAACAACAACAAGGAGAGCTACCTCCCAAGCTGATGAGCTCCCATCCCACTTCCCTCTATAGCATGTGGAGGAACCTCCTTCTTCACCATAGGATCCACTCTTGGCCTCATCCAGTCAACCTGCTGGAGCCTGCTTTTGCATACGGTCCCTTACTCACTGAGGGTTTGTGACCCATGGGCTACCCTCACCTGGTTTATGTGACTAGTCATAGAATCATAGAATCATAGAATCATAGAATCATAGAGTTGGAAGAGACCACAAGGGCCATCGAGTCCAACCCCCTGCCAAGCAGGAAACACCATCAGAGCACTCCTGACATATGGTTGTCAAGCCTCTGCTTAAAGACCTCCAAAGAAGGAGACTCCACCACACTCCTTGGCAGCAAATTCCACTGTCGAACAGCTCTTACTGTCAGGAAGTTCTTCCTAATGTTCTTCCTAATGTTCCTAATGTTCCTAATGTAGTCGAAGCTGCAGTGATCAGGAAAAGCTAGGAAAAGCTGCAGTGATCAGGAAAAGCTAGACTGTCTGCTGCTAACTTGCCTACCCTCTGGGAAGATGCTAGGGGAGGGAGGCAGATGTTTCCGTGGGTTTGTAGAGGCCATTTCAAAAGGAAAACACCCATCCCACCACAAGGTTGACCACAAAGTGTTCATTTTGGAGCTTAGCTGATGTGGTTGAGACTTGCTAGTATCAGCGCTCAGTTTGGCACCCATCTGATCTCTAAATGGGATAAATGGAATGAGGATGTCTTCTTCTAAAATCATCTCCTGCCAAGGAGATGCCATTATTTCCTCTTGGGAGAGAGTCAGAAACCACACAAGCCCACTCAGACCCTACTCAGATGAAGGACGTCAAAACCTGATCTTGATCCCTAGATCCTGGTGGTGTCAACACCTTTCTGATGGGCTGGGTTGATCCATGTCATGCAAGTGCTGCCCATCGGAGGGGCCACAGACCATCTCATCCCGCATCATGTTCTCACTGTGGCCAGCCAGGTATCCCAAAGGTGTGTGACCGTGTGTGACAGAGAATGTGGCCTGAGCCCCAGAGGACACCACAGCTTCAGGGAAATCCTTGGCTTGGCATGGGGAAAGAGGGAGAACGGTGGCCTCAGGAGAAGCCTCGCCTTGGACCCCAATAAGTTCACTCACGAAAGGAATGGACAAAGGCGGCTTTATTGCATGAAAGGAACGCGACAAGAGCAAACGAGTGCTGCTTCAGGCAGCAAAGTTGCAAGAGAAGCAGGCAGCGCCTATGCTCCTTGGTCTAAGAGGAAGAAGAATCCCCATGGAAAGCCTAAAGAAGCAAAGTGGTGTGTCGGTTGGTGACAAGAAGGTCTCTAATCCTGTGGGAGCTAACCAGGCATGGTTAACCTAGGATGTAAGTATTCTTTTGAGCCAACGTTAGATGATGGAGAGGGCAGGGGGTCTTTGGGATAAGTCATTCATTATGTGATGGCCTGGGACTTGGGCTTGGGCTCAGAACCGGAGGAGTCTCAGTCCACACTGGACCCTTTGCCTCAGGCGGCATCTGAACCTAGTCTGGGGCCTGATCCTGAAGAGCCCCAGTCTGCACAGGTTCCCCTGCAACAAACACCAGCTGGGTCGAGTCCGGGGCCTGATCCTGCCCTGGCTCCAGATACGGGGATGACCTCGTTGCCTCCAGCTTTGCCATCATTTACAGCTGCTCCACTACCGGTTGGGTCAGGGGAGGCTGAGGCGGCCTCTGGGTCTAGTAACCCACCGACATCTCCCGAGCTGCAGAGACTGAGGTCTGAGAGAAGGAGAGACCTGAGTACTTGCAGGAGGAGTGCTTGCCTTTGGGGGAGACAGGGAGGTGAGTCGCCGGGGGATCAGGACCGGCCATTACCCCAACAGAGATAAAAGGCTGCTGGACCCCACCCCAGGTTGCAGGAGCAACATTGCTGCTTGCTGGAACCTGCCTGTTACCCTGTGCCTGACCTAGCCTGGTTTCCTGCCTTGGCCATGTTGGACTGACTCCTCACAGAATCCTTGGATTCGGGACCAGACCTGGACCGCATTGCTCGGGTTTACCCCCGGGCCCAGCACACATTATAACCTATTTATTCTATTGTTCTGTTGGTTCTTTCCTATTAAGTTGCTGCCTGTTTCACATTTTGTTCATTAGTAGTTGAAACGACATAATCCCAGTAAGAAATGGCCCAACTGGTTATCTTTCCAAGGTTATCTTAGTACTTAGGAACCCATTCTTTTCACAGGAGATGTGAATCAAATGTTGTTGCCAACACCTGATTACTGTGCTGATCTGGACCTCAAGTTCCAGGGCACATTCAAGGCAAGGACTTGCACCAGGGTCAGAAAAGTTAACTTTTTATATGATGCCATATAATGATGCCATGCCAACTTTTACACATGTCACGATCTACAGAAATAAACCATGGAACCTTGAGAATTCTGTACTGAACCATGGGGAAAAGTTCAGATCGGCATACACACACCATGACACATGCTTGACACCTTCCCTCGGTAAAAAGCCAACAAATTCAATCTCAGGTGGGCAGAGGGCACCAAAGGAGGTATCAGTGGGCACTACAGCAGGTACTTCATCTTCTGTGGGCTCTGCATTGGGAATGATGGATCTACATGGTCTGGAGCAGAAATAGGTTACAGCTCATATGGCACAAAAGTTGGAGCTGGTACCTCCACTTGGTGGTTCATGCCTGAATTTTTACACACCTTCAGTGCAAGGTTTTTAAGTTCTAGTTAGCTTCTGCCACCCTGGTGCCTGGTGCCAATTATATTGTGCCATAGGGGACCAGGCAGTAGGACTGCAGAGTATGGTAAGGCTACCAGATGTTTTTTCAATGAATCCGAGGACACTTTTCAACTTCCTATTAAATAGATGGATTTTGTCAGGGGACTGATTTGTAAATTCGGGGACTGTCCCCAGGATATGGGGACGTCTGGTAACCTTAGAGTATGGGGCTCAACACTATGGCGGGGAAAGACTTCATTCTTGCCGTGATGGGTTTTCAGCAGTGTCTTGGTCTACGCCAGGCATAGGCAAACTCAGCCCTCCAGATGTTTTGGGACTACCACTCCCATCATCCCTAGCTAATAGCCCCAGTGGTCAGGGATGGTGGGAGTTGTAGTCCCAAAACATCTGGAGGGCTGGGTTTGCCTATGCCTGGTCTACGCTTTGTGGCAGGAGCAAAAGCACAGGCCGTGTTGGTTCTCAGGGCCATGAGAAGCTGCTGGAGAAGTAGAGGAAAGGGGGCTTGCTGCAGGGAGGACTATGGCATTGATTGACGCATCCTTGGTCTTTGACAGCCACACTGCCTGAACACACCAACACAGAGACTGCTGGTGGTCCCTAACGCATCTCTTCTGCTACAGCTCCATAGACATCCACTTCGCACAGCGTCATAGGCCCGTGGCGGGGAAGGTGGATGCTCACATAGCGGCCCCTGAGCCAGTTGCAGTTGAAGCTACTGACGGAGCCCAGTGTGACATCTGTGACGATCCCACATCTGTAGAGAGAAAAGGAGGGTTAGACACAAGTGTGTTTGTGTATAGGAAGCATTCGCAGTTCTCCACATTTCCACATCAGTTTGTGATCTCTTTTCCCCCCCCCCCAGTCATCACAAAAATTGTCAGCATTTCCGTGTGAATTTATCCTAAGATACCCATTTTCGCAAAGCAATTTCCCCTAACAGCACGCAGTTTTGTATGTCGTCTTCACTTATCTATCCTTTCTTATGCACACTTTCCCATAGGATGTGCACATTACTCAGCGGGAGAACTAAATTTGTTGCTAAATTTGGAAAAGTGCAAATTCCAAAAGAGGGCTAAGTTTTGGTCCGTGTATTCCCTGAGAGTGCAGACACAGCCTATTTCACTTTTGATGTTCTTAATGAGATCCTTTAGTTTTTAAATTGGTCTAAGCCACCCTGGGACGTGGGTGGCACTGTGGGTTAAACCACAGAGCCTAGGACTTGCCAATCAGAAGGTTGGCAGTTCAAATCCCCGCGACAGGGTGAGCTCCCGTTGCTCGGTCCCTGCTCCTGCCAACCTAGCAGTTTGAAAGCACGTCAAAGTGCAAGTAGATCAATAGGTACCGTTCCGGTGGGAAGGTAAACGGCGTTTCCGTGCGCTGCTCTGGTTTGCCAGAAGCGCCTTAGTCATGCTGGCCACATGACCCAGAAGCTGTACGCCGGCTCCCTCGGCCAATAAAGCGAGATGAGTGCTGCAACCCCAGAGTCGGCCATGACTGGACCTAATGCTCAGGGGTCCCTTTATTCCCTCAGAAAGTGTGGATTGGGTAAATTTGCCCTGAATCGAATTTCTCCCGCATCCCTAGCCATTATAGCACATGCCTTGATTATGACAGCCAGGTTGGATCACTGCAATGGGCTCTGCATGGAAGAGTCTTTGGGAACTGAGCTGGACCAGAAGGAGCAGCAGCAAGGACGTCATAGAGTCCCTGGGATCATATGAAACCAGCTCTGCAACAGCTGCAAGGGCAGCCAATTTGTAGGCCCAACCGAAGCTGCTGGAGATTATATTTAAAGCCCTAAAGCCAGTGGTGCAGCTAGGCCAGGGGTCAGCAAACTTACCGCACCTCAGGCCGGTGTCTCCAGCACCGACTGCACAGTGGGCCGGAGGGTGGGGGAGCGCGTGCCCATACGCGGGCGCACATGCTATTTCCTGTGCACTTCCGGGTCAGAGGAGCACCCGAAATAGCTTGTGCGCATGTGCACGGGCCTCTTCCGACCCGGATGTGCACCGGAAATAACACTTGTGCATGCACAAATAACTCTTGCGTATGCGCACAAGCTATTTCCGGTGCTCCTCCGACCTGAAAGTGGGCAGCCGTGCAGCGCAGCGCCGGTAAGAGCGGGTGGTGGCAGTGGGGGGCACTGCAGGCTGGATAAACGAGTCCCTCAGGCCTAATCTGGCCCGCGAGCCTTAGTTTGGGGACCCCTGAGTTGGCAGTGACACTCCTCACACCAAACTTCTTAGCTCAGTTGTGATGAGCACACAGTTAACACACATGGGCCTCCACAGCACTCCATGCGCTGCCATAGCTTCTACGTTCCTCATCTGTTAGAGCAACAACAACAAAATTTGATTTTAAAAGAAAGAAGGGCAAGAGCCTGTCCCATCAAAATCGCTTTAAATCACTGCACCAGCATGACTACGGGAATAAAATGGAGTTTGCTTCTGCCTCCCTGAGGCTAAACATTTGGGAATAAGGACCATTATGCTGTAGGAAAGGCTAATGTATTTTGAAAGTGAAAATAATAATCGGCAACCGGAGCCATAGCTAGGTGATCTTGCGCCCCTGGCAGAACCGTCCAGATTGCGCCCCCCACCCACGGCCAAATGAGCTCTTCTTTCCGCCTCTCCTCCAACCCTGCCCCCTCCATCTGCTCAATTCACCCTCTATTTAAAACCTTTTCTTAGGAGAGAGTAATCAATATTTTTATTTATTGGTATATTTTTAGCCGATTTTGCACCCTGCCCTCGCCTGTGCCCCTGGCAGGGGCCTACCTCACCACTCCCCAGCTACGGCCCTGTGGGTGACCATATACAGTGGTACCTCGGGTTAAGTACTTAATTCGTTCCGGAGGTCCATTCTTAACCTGAAACTGTTATTAACCTGAAGCACCACTTTAGCTAATGGGGCCTCCTGCTGCTGCGCCGCCGGAGCACGATTTCTGTTCTCATCCTGAAGCAAAGTTCTTAACCTGAAGCACTATTTCTGGGTTAGTGGAGTCTGTAACCTGAAGCGTATGTAACCCGAGGTACCACTGTATAAGATTGGGGACGTCCGCCTTACTAGCAGAACATGTGAAAAGGACCATGGGGTCTTAGTGCAGTGGTACCTCGGGTTACGTACTTAATTCGTTCCAGAGGTCCATTCTTAACCTGAAACTGTTCTTAACCTGAAGCACCACTTTAGCTAATGGGGCCTGCTGCTGCTGCCGGAACACGATTTCTGTTCTCATCCTGAAGCAAAGTTCTTAACCTGAAGCACTATTTCTGGGTTAGCAGAGTGTGTAACCTGAAGCGTATATAACCTGAGGTACAACTGTACATGCCTTGGGCAGTCATGGCTATAAACTGCTTTGGAAAAGGAGAAGAAACAAAGGAGGTTTTGACGAGGGACCTTAGCTCCAGGGGCCCCAGCAGAGCCATGTGCTGATACTGGTCTCTTTGCCCCAGCCTCCCTCAACTGCAACTCTCTGGGTGGTGATTTGGAGGACCACGAGCCCAGGATAAGGGAAAGGTAAAGGGACCCCTGACCATTAGGTCCAGTCGTGGCCGACTCTGGGGTTGCGGTGCTCATCTCGCTTTGCTGGCCGAGGGAGCAGGCGTACAGCTTCCGGGTCATGTGGCCAGCATGAATAAGCCGCTTCTGGCGAATCAGAGCAGTGCACGGAAACGCTGTTTACCTTCCCACTGGAGCGGTACCTATTTACAGTGGTGCCCCGCAAGACGAATGCCTCGCAAGACAGAAAACCCGCTAGACGAAAGGGTTTTCTGTTTTTGAGTTGCTTCGCAGGACGAATTTCCCTATGGGCTTGCTTCGCAAGACGAAAATGTCTTGCGAGTCTTGAGATTTTTTTTTGCTCCCCCCCTTTTTTCTAAGCCGCTAAGCCACTAATAGCCTTTTAGCAGCTAAGCCGCTAAGCCGCTAAGCCTTTAATAGCCGCTAAACCGCTAATAGCGCTAATCCGCTAAGCCGCTAATAGGGTTGCTTCGCAAGACGAAAAAACCGCTAGACAAAGACACTCGCGGAACGGATTATTTTTGTCTTGCGAGGCACCACTGTATCTACTTGCACTTTGACGTGCTTTCGAACTGCTAGGTTGGCAGGAGCAGGGACTGAGCAACGGGAGCTCACCCCGTCGTGGGGATTCGAACCACCGACCTTCTGATCGGCAAGCCCTAGGCTCTGTGGTTTAACCCACAGCGCCACCCGCCTCCGCACACTACAAACCTACCCACTCCCTACAGTTGCCATGCCCTGTCTCTGGCTGAGGCAAGACTGGTCTGGGTGGTGGAGAAGGGACGGGGCCTTCTCAGTAACTGCACCCAGATTGTACCCAGCAAGATCTCCTCTCTCTTACTGTTTTCCTGTGACTGGTTAAGACTGTCCTCTTCCAGCTGGCATTTGCTTGCTTGCCAGAATGATTTTTATATGATACGTCCTCATTTTAGATTGTCATTATTTCTGCTGAGCCTATTTCACATTTGACTGTACTTTTTGAGAATTCTAAGGAAAAACCATCTTCCGCAGAAACTGCTGCTTGCCTTCTATCACTGTGCCATTGAGAGCGTGCTCACTTATGGCTTATGTGTGTGGTACGGAAGCTGTACTACCCAGGACAGGTTGGGGTTGTGCAGAGTTGTTAAGGCAGCAGAGAGCATTGTTGGCTGCCCACTCTCCACCTTAGAGCAGATTTATGCCACAAGGTGCCATAGGAAGGCACTGGACATAGTAAAAGATCCATCGCATCCTGGTCACTGTCTCTTCGAGCTCCTGCCGTCGGGACGGAGATACAGGTCGATGAAGACAAGAACGAGTCGTCTTAAGAACAGCTTCTTCTCCAGAGCGATCTCGGCCCTGAATGGGAAGCCCAGACTTTGAAAGTCATCTAATCTCCCTTGCTATATTATATTGTATTGTTTAATTAGTGTTTTTATGGAGCAGTCAAGTAATTTCGTTGTCCCCAAAGGGGGCAATGACAATAAAGATATTATTATTATTATTATTATTATTATTATTATTATTATTATTATTATTATTATTATTATTATTATTTTCTTAATGAGATCCTTTTGTTTTTAAATTGGTCTAAGCCACCCTGAGCAATGCAAGAGTCCTGGAAGGACAGGGATATATGCTTTTCTAAATAAATATAACCTCCCCAGGAAATATCCCCATATCTCCCCACACCCAGCATCCTTGGAATTCTCGTCTGACGTGCTCCCTGTTGCCAGGCAGACCACCATCTTCTGATCTGGATTAAATCATTTATTTCTGTTTAATGGTGAACCTAACCCCATGACAGCACACACCTATGCATTTAATGACACATTTAAAGCTCCTTTAATGGGACGCGGGTGGTGTTGTGGTCTAACCACTGAGCCTCTTGGGCTTGCCGATCAAAAGGTTGGCGGTTTGAATCCCTGCGACGGGGTGAGCTCCCGTTGCTTGGTCCCAGCTCCTGCCAACCTAGCAGTTTGAAAGCACAACAAAAAGTGCAAGTAGATTAATAGGTACCACTCCAGCGGGAAGGTAAACGGCGTTTCCATGCGCTGCTCAGAAGTGGCTTAGTCATGCTGGCCACATGACCTGGAAAGAACATCAACGGAGTGGACAAACGCTGGCTCCCTCGGCCGGTAAAACGAGATGAGCGCCACAACCCCAGAGTCATTTGTGCACTAGAGTCGTCTGCAACTGGACTTCACGGTCAGGGGTCCCTTTACCTTTACCTTTTAAAGCTCCTTCCACCTCCCACAAGAATTATGGGAACGATAGTTTGCCCCTCACAGAGCTGCAATTCCCAGTACACTTCGCAAACTACAGTTCCCATGATTTTTGGGGAAAGGGGCATGAAATATACTTGGAGTCGAGAGTCGATTTCATGCTCTTTATTCAGCTCATAGTGGTGAGGAGGAATGCCAGTTCCCCCGAAATATCTGCTTTATATACATTATTTACACAATGGGCCCCACATGATTGGCTAATTCCGGGATTCTCCTGTAGCCAATCAGGTTGTGGATTCAGTTCCACCTGGAGCTGGATTGGGTGGCTCCTGTGGACCAATCAGACTGCTGCATTCTGAATCCTATTGTTCTAGGACCAATCAGACTACTGCATTCTGAATCCTATTGTTCTAGGACCAATCAGACTGCTGCCTTTTGGATCCTATTCAACTCAGTACATAACAGGGTGCTTTCATTGGTGGTCTGCACACAGCACCTGCCTCTTTCCTACTTTCTTCCCTGTTATCACAAATACAAGAGGAGACTAAGAAGTAGTCCCTCCCCACCAGTGTTCCTGAAGTGTTCTGTGAACCCCCAGAGATCATTCAGGTTCGGGGACCAAGGGATGGTTGGCAGCTGGAACTTACAGAGCGTTGGATTTGCCATGGTCCACAATGGTGTTCCCCACACGGACCTCGGCTCCCAGCAGCCTGTCGCCACAGCAGTCGCCACGGTTTTCACCAAGACAGCTGCGATGGCGTACTCTGAGTCCAGATCCACCAGCCACCAGGGGTTCTTCTCAGCGTTGGTGTGGGTGCAGGAGCCCTGGTGGAAGTTCCCAGCATAGAAGCCGTCCACAGCTTTGTCTGCTGATCCAACGATCGTATGTGGATATACGGAGGACTGATAAGCTCGTCGTCCTTTGGCCAGGTTCAGTACTAGAGTCACAGGAGGGGGAAAAGAGGGGAAGAGGAATGCACATGGTTCATTTGCTTACCGTATTTTCCGCTCTATAAGACAAAAAATACGGTAAGCTAAAAAGTAAGGGGAAATGTGTGTGCATCTTATGGAGCGAATGCAGGCGGGAGGTTCTGCTCAGCACTCCCTTTAAAGAGCCGCGTGGAGGACTTCCGGGTTAGCGCGATCGGCTAATGGCGGATTCCCTCCGAGCTCCGGAGGGAGTCTGCTCAACAGGGGCCGGGTCTTGCCGTGCCGGCGACGCGGGGACCCTTAAAAACCACGGGCGCGGATGCCCGTGGACATGGAGACTCGGCGGGCACCGTTAGCGCCCTCCCGACTCGCGAAGGAGCCTTTTTAAAGGCTACGGAACGGGTGACGGGGAACGGTGTGGTGCTGTGAGTCGTCTGCTTCCCCTGCCGAGCGAAGCCGCATGCCATTGGTCGGAGAGCGCTGACTTCTTCCTTCTTAAAATTTGGACTTAAAATCAAGAACAACAACCCGTGAGTAATTTGGAAATTGGACTAAAATTATTTTCTTTGTGGATTTGGCACGAGCAGGGGAGGTGCAAAGAGGAAGTCCGTCTCCCCCCCCCCCATTGTAAACAGTTTAAAGCAAGGACTTGCTAACTAAGGTTGCGAGAGGAGCCGTCTTTTTTTCCTGATTGGATAAAAGTTATTAATTCCACGGATTTAAAAGTCTAAGTTAGTGTGCTGGAGGACAAGAGTTTATTTGTTGAGATTAAGTGCCACTCTTCTCGAGTCCGGGAGTAACCCGCAAAAAGAGCCTGCTGAGGGATTATAGAAGACTTTGACAGCTGTCAAATTAGCTGTCAAGGTAGGAAAAAACTGAAAGCTTTGGCTTTGGCCGGTTATATCGTTACAAAGTATTGAAAATAAACAAAGATTGATACAAATAAATTTAACTTTGGGATCGGAAGTGAAAGGACTACTAAGTAACCAGAATCCCTCTAGAGGGGATTCACGGACATTACAAGAATGGAAATAGGTCAGGAAATTCGGGCAGAGCTGAAAGAGCTTGTCTTTCTCATGGGAAAGCTGCGAAAGATGTGCGAGCAAGGCCATGTTTTGTCTGCATCCCTACAAAACCGAAGTTAACAGAAAATATACCCTCTGAGCTGGAAAAGGACTTGATTTTCAAAACACAGGCAGCTGGACAGGAAAAAAAACCAAAGATTGAAGAGGAGGAAAAGATACTTGTTGAACAGGAGGAGCAGAAAGGAGAGGTGGCTGAAAAAGTACAGAAAATAAACGAGAGCTGGAGGCTTGTCAAGATGACTTCAAGCTGGACCAAGGTGGAAGCTGGATTCTTTGGGACACATGGATTTAAGAAACAGAGCTTGAGTTCCACCTTTAAACAAGTAGGCCTTGCTGGAAGGATGATGGACATTAGTGAGAAAGCACCTTTTCGAGCTTGGGTGTCAATCATAAGGGACGTTCAAAGAAGCCAGCTGGAAGGGACTGAGAGAGATTTGAGAGCCTCAGACGTAAGGTCACCAGGCTAAAAAGGTGGACTAATGGACTATGGTTTGGGACTGAAACCGGGGAGAGAGGAGTGGGGTTTGGAAGTCCAAAGGGGGCCTGATCTTTTTTATGCTGTGTTAAAATTTTATGTTGTTTTTTATTATAAGAATGGGGAATTTGTGGAAGGGAAACAGGGTCAACCTCAGAAAAAGTTTTTTCTTCTTCTTTTTTCTTTGTTATATATGATTAAGGTATATAATCTAAAACTTGTTTTATAAATTGAACTGAATATGAATAAGGAATTAAGGATTAAAATTTACTATAAAGAAATATATTAATAAATAAGGTTAAGGCATTAGGGATAAAAACTTGTTGAACAAATAATTGATTTGGAATACAAGAAGGGGAGGTGAGGGGAAGTCGTGAAAAGAAGTTATTGAAAATGAGATCTTAAAGGTGGATTTTTTTTTTCTTTTTTTGTGTTTGTTTTTGGTTTTGTTTGTATACCTTTTGAAACTTTAATAAATATTATTTGGAAAAAATAATAATAAAGAGCCGCGTGGAGCGTGTGTGCGGCTTTGGGGGGATGTGGTTCTCCTAAAAGTCCCAAGGAAGAACTAGCCAGCAAGGAGGATTTGCACCTCAGTTGCAGATCTGAGAGAGTCACAAAGGGTATACCACCCAAGAGGTACTCTCAGGAGTTTGCTAACACAGCTGTTGCTTGTATAGCTGTAGCTGGCAACTCACACCGGGTACAAGGTTTGTCCACGACAGAGACAAAGCCCCACCTGAAGGTTGCAAGACGCAACACGGTTTTTCCAAACGAAGGTAGAGCAAAAGCTCTAGTCCCATGGAAAACAGGTAACCAGAGGTTTGAACTGGTGGAACCAGTTGCAGGTAGTTCCAGAGATGGAACTGGTGCAACAGGGGTTTACTATGTGTATAACAACTGTTTGTTTGTGTCTCTTGTTGCTGCACTTGTTTTCGCAGCTAGTGTTACCTAAAAATGGGAGAGTATGTTGGGATTTTTATTTCTCACCTGCTGCGAGGAGCAGCACAATGGTTGTTGACATCATGTGATGTCTGTGAGCGTGAGACAGGAAGTCTCTGCTTGTTCTCAGTAACTGGAGAGTTCTGTACTTGCTGCTCAGGAGAGCAGACATGTCGGATGAGAGCTGCATGTACAGTCTGTAAATAAAGTAGTGTGTAGACTACTGACTGTCTCTTTCTTCTGTGATGGGATACCAGAAGCCAAGTGTGCTCCTCTCAGGATGGAGGGGTTGCTTATTACTGGTCTCTCTGGACTGTGGGCAATTTCCAGCCAGAGAGTGACCACCGGCGAGACGCCTTGGTGTCTTGGGAAGGTGGCACCCTTCCCGGGGGTGTTTTCCCAACACCTTCGTCCCGCTGCCCGGGAAAGGCTGCACACGATCCCTCTTGCTGTTCTGGCTTCTGGCTTAGCGTGTGGCTCTTGCGGGAGGCGGGGGAAGGGACAAAGCGTGCGGCTCCGTAGCTTTCCCCACCTCCTGCAAAAGCCCCCAAGAGCCGCGCTCCCTTTAAAGAGCCCCACACACGCTTCACGTGGCTCGTGAAAGGGAGCGCTGAGCAGAGCCTGGGATGCACACAGGCTCTGCTCAGCGCTCCCTTTAAAGAATATTTTTTTCCTTGCATTCCCCCTCTAAAAACTAGGTGCCTCTTATGGTCAGGTGTGTCTTATTGAGCAAAATATACGGTACTTAAAGTCATAGAACTGTAGAGTTGGAAGGGACCTGGAGGATCACCTGGTCCAGTGGTGCTATGGCACCCTGGGCTGCCTTGAAGGATGGTCAGGGGTGGCATGGGCAAGACTGGGTTCTGTCCCTCTTTCCTTCCCTCCCTCCTCTTATACCCTCTCGCATCTCTGCCCCCCAAAGCCTTGCACAGCTTTTTGTTTCAGCAGCCCTGGCCTCAAGCTCCCCAGGCGAATGGTGTCTCTGGGGCTGGCCAGGGGGTTCTGGGTGCCAGAAGCAGAGGCAGCCTCAGAGTAAGTAAGCAAGCAAGCAAGTGGGTACCCCCCCCCCGTGGGGGCAGTGTGAGGAGGCAGCTCTCAAGGCATCCACAAAGCAATCCAGCTTTTGTGTTTTGCAATGGATTGTTAGGAAATTGGCAAACCTACGTAATGGGTTGAGGTGACTCCCGGGTAATCGCCTTATCATAACCATGTGTCAAAATGTCAACATATAGCCTGTGCAAGAGGGTGAGGAAAGGAACTCCACATCTTGGGGAGGCACCATCTAGGCTTCGATTTGGCCCAGAGACATCCCTGCTTCCCCAGTTCTTACCTGTAGGTATTGATTTGTAGCTCTGGGACTGTCCCGTCTCTACCAGGAATGTCAGGGCCAGCAGCAGGGTCCAGAAGTTGAGCATCCTGCAGTTGGGAGAGATGGCGTGTATCTAATCCAGAATGCAGCAGGTAGACTAGTGACCGGGAGTGGCCGCTGAGACCATATAACACTGGTCCTAAAAGACCTACATTGGCTCCCAGGACGTTTCTGGGCACAGTTCAAAGCATTGGTGCTAACCTTTAAGGCCCTAAATGGCCTTGGCCCAGTAGACCTGGAGGAGCATCTCCATCCCCATCGTTCACTGAGGTCCAGCTCGGAGGGCCTTCTGGCGGTTCCCTCGCTGCAAAAAGCGAAGTTACAGGGAACCAGGCAGAGGGCCTTCTTGGTGGTGGCACCCTCCCTGTGGAATGCCCTTTCATCAGATTTCAAGGAAATAAACAACTATCTGACTTTTAGAAGACAACTGAAGGCAGCCCTGTTTAGGGAAGTTTTTAATGTTTGATGTTTTATCATGTTTTTAATATTCCGTTGGGAGCCACCCAGAGTGGCTGGGGAAACCCAGCCAGATGGGCGGGGTAGAAATAATAAAATTATTATTATTATGCACATGAGAGAGAGATGGCTTGCTGGAGCCATGGGGTCTGGCTCCCCCTGAAGAGCATGGGGGACACAGGAGCACTGGAAGGTGTCTTACACAAGCTCAGGTACGATTGCTCCATCTAGCTCAGCATTGTCTACACAGACTCCAGGATTCCAGAATATAGGCCTCTCCCAGCTGGGAATCAAACCCCAGACCGTCTGGTCAAAGCATTGTGTGCTCTGTCACTGAATCCTAGAACCACAGAATTGTAGAGTTGGAAGGGACCCTGAGGGTCATCTAGCTATGGCTCTTCCCCCAAAGAGTAAAATATGAAATAAAATAGTGGGGTGGGGTGTGCCCCTGAAGGCTGCCATGAAAGAGAAGGCATTAGAAGCAAGAGTTTGTAATGTTTCTGAAGTAACCAGTAGAGCTTCAGTTGGAGTAATACAAGACCTGGAGAACCAGACTGAGAAGGGATTGGAGCAGGATGGAGAACCTGTGATGTTTTTGTTGGATGCCAACTGCCACTAGCCGCAGGTAGCCTAGCCAATGGCCAGGAGGTCTCTGCAAGGAGAGGGGAACAGGCAGTTAGAAGGCCACCAGGCTGGCAAAGACTGTTCTGGGTTGAGGCAGAACCAGAAGCAGAGTGTTGAATCCAGAGCAGTCTTTGCCAGCCTTGTGGCCTTCACCTACTTTGGGCTACAGCTCTCCTCAGCCCCATGAAGAGGATGAGAGTTGTCCTCTGAAACATATAGAGGGCATGAAGTTGGCAAAGGCCAAGGCTGAGGAAAGGAAACCACTAGGCTGAGCTTCCCAGCATCTCTACGCTACAGATTTAAGTCAGTTTCAATCTTTTTTAATTAACTGCTATGGGAACTTAAGTTCTCCCAAAGTTTAAATGTGCTTCCAAGAAACTGAGGGAAGGCTCACTTTCTTTTTCTTTTTTTAATTATTTTTATTAGATTTACATTTTATCATAATCACATTCCATTGCGTATTTCCATAACCAAAAGCATTGCTCAAACTGAGCATCGACTTCCTCCCATCCCCCTCTCTGGCTTTCATAAATATTCACTTACATCTTAGCATTTCTGTGACCACTTATTTACCTTCTTTCTTCTTAATAAGAATCACCTCATTAAATGTAAATCAGTTCCCTATTTTCACATTACAAAATATTTCAGCTCAAACCTACAAACATTTTCAAATGTTTGCAGTGTTCTTTCATATATAATATAAATTTGCTCCAGTCCTTTTGAAACAGTTTGTCGCGTTGCTTTTGGATCTTCCCCTTCAACTTTGCCAGTTCTACATATTTGATCATCTTAGTCTGCCATTCTTCTGATGTTGGAAGTTCCTGCTGCTTCCATTTCCAAGCCAAAAGTATCCTTGCTGCCATTATGGCACACATAAACAAATTTACATCTTTTGAGGGAGTTTCGTCTCCAATTATGCCTAATAAAAATGCCTCTGGTTTTTTGTTAAAATTATATTTAAAAACCTTTTTCAGTTCATTGTATATCGTATCCCAGTACACTTTCACCTTAGTACACGTCCACCACATATGAAAGAAATTCCCGAGGGAAGGCTCACTTTCAGACTAATATAAGGCGTTGGACTCTCTTTTCTGGGATTCAGGTATTATGTGCAAGAGGTTCTCCTCCTTGACTTACCTTGACCCTGTTTCTTGGGACCAGCAGAAGTCTTTGTTGTCCTTCTTGAAGAGTAGGCAACCTCACCTTCTTTTTTTCTGTGCTTCTAGCTGAATCCTGGACCTCCTTTTGAGCAGCTCTGCTTGTTTTGTATCCTTCCAAGCCAATCAGAAAGATGCTGAGGACCGAAACTGAGGTCCAGCATTTGCCCTCCCATCTATTGCTTTAATTCTGCTTTTGACATTCTGGGTGTTGACACTTTTGGTGAAGTTGCACAACTCCTCACCATTTGATGCATCAACTTCAGCTCTGTCTGGTATTCTCCCTCTTTCCTAAATTTGTGGTGGCTCAATTTAGGAAACATCGCACACTAAAAGCTTCCCTGAACAGGGTTGGTCAAGTGCAGCTCACCCATGGTGACCTCTTGGAGACACTTGACCCGAGGAAAAGAGAGCCAGAGGGGGAAAGGGGTTTGTGCTGGTCACCAGTCCAGGCTCTCCTTTGGGCTGGTGATTTTCAGGCACCCCACTTGTCCCTTTGCCCCAGGATGACAAGGAGTCCTCTTTGGGTACGATCCGCCAACCAGATACAAGTCCACCTAGCAGTTACCTCGTTCAACCCACATTTTACCAGCTTCCTCACAAGAATATCATGGAGGACTTTGTCAAGAGAACTTACTGAAATCAAGATACGCTATGTCCACAGCATTCCCCTGATCTACCAAGCTTGTTACTCCGTCAAAAAAAAAAGAAATTGAGTTCATTTGACATTGATATTTTTGAGAAACCTATGCTGGATCTTTAGAATCACAGCATCCTTTTCTAAGTTCTCATACACGGACTGTTGAATTATCTCTTCTCGGACCTTTCCTGGTGTCAATGTCAAGCTCACTGGTGGGTAGTGATTTATATGTGGAAATAAACCAGATGGAGGAACCCATCTGTTCCATGCATTGCAGTTGGACTAAATGACCCCTCAACTCTATGATTCTTTGATTATGCTAATCATGGGTCTTAAGTAGTCAGCCAAAGCCACTGCCTGACAAGCAGACTGGTTTGCAAGCCTCTTCTTATACATTCCACCTACACAGATGCAGCTTCCAGACTGACCCTGCTAAACCTACATCATACACCTAAACTGACCAGGGCTACCAAGGCCCTAGTCCCTAGCCCCTTTGACAACAGGATGCTGGACTAGATGGGCCCGATCCAGCAAGCTATGATGTTGTTGTTGTAAAATATGACCATCCCTTAGAGAAAGAGGACTCAAGTCTTCACCATCAGAACAGCAGCTTCTAGGTCATTGGTTTGGGGAGAAATAGGAGTTCTCCCTGTGTGTGTGTTGGAGGGAAAGACGATTTGGGTTTGTGTCTGACCCACTGACAAGCTCCCTTCTTGCAGCTCTTCCCAACACCTGGCAGTTCAGGCTTGCAGCTCTGGGAATCCCCTTTCAGGACCAGCCGCCAAGTCCAGGTGAGTAACCTCCTGCGAGGAGGAAGGGGGTCATGCTGGAGCCATCGGGGTCTGCCTCCCTGTTAGCATCAGGAAGAGTAAGAAGATGGGAAAGGTGGGCTCAGAGCCAGCCAGGAATGCTGAGAGGAGGCCTTCAGAAGAATCAAGAGCCCTGTTGGCCAGAGAGCTCCATGCGCTTCCTCAAATGGCCGTGGCGGGGGAACATGAGTGGCGCAAAAGCGCTCCTGTTCAGTCCTTGTCAGCATGGAAATGGAGTGAGCGGGAGAGAGAAAGAGAGAGTTCTGGAAAGTTACGAAAAAAATGGCAACGCTTGCATTAGCATGCTAATGTTACATGTTAAAGAATATGCGGTTGAGTAAGTTTGGGGAAGTCAGTGAGGTGTGGTAGATGTGTGATTAAATCTGTGGTTGGGTGGCCCTTAAAATGGGGAACCTGGAAACTAAGGCAAAAGGTTGAAGGGGTGGCAGGAGACCGTTCGCCTAGGATCTTATTATTATTATCATTATGTTTTACTACTATTATTTTATTACCTCTGCCAAGTTTTAAGTGTTGAGATTATTGATCCACTATATGACTATTGATTCAAAACCCTAAAATGTATTTTATATAATTGACTTTTTATTTCTATTCTTTGTATATCGTATTGTTGTTTTATTGCTATGGCCGATGGCTGACGCAAATAAAGATTCATTCATTCAGCATGGCGCTGGTTAGAAACTGCTGAGAAGATAAGAGGGGGAAGAATGAATAAACACGGAGCCAGTGAAACTGCAGACATGTTACACGTGGACTCTGCTCCTCTGGAGGCTTCTAAGCAGAGGTCGGATGGGCATCTGCCATAGATGCTTTCCTTGAGATGACCCAACTCCCAAATTCTAGGATTCTATGTAGGGAAATGTATGAAAGATTTGAATTTTATGCGCTTGGGGTCTCTTGCCTGAACCGTGAGGTTGGCAGGACAGCATTCCTGATCTGAAGCTCCCTGCCTTGTTGAGAGACTGTCAGAGATGTCTAAAGGGGCAGCTGCTCTGGCCAAGGGAGCTGAGGACTCTGGGCCCAAGAGAAAAGGTTGGCTGACAGCCTCAAGAGATACCGTACTTTTCCGTGTATAAGGCTAGGGTTTTTTTATTTTAAAAATAGGTTCAAATTTGTGGGTCGTCTTATACACGGATACAATCTCCCCCCATTTTCTCAATTTGGAGTCCCCCCAAAATAGGGGGCATCTTATATGTGGGCGCGTCTTATACATGAAAAAATATGGTGAATGCCAGGGCAGGAAGGTGAATTCAGGCGGTCTGTACTGCAAATCTAATTCACATTCAGACTTGCCTCTTTACCCTGAGACCTAACAGCCTTTTAACATGACTTCAGAAAAAAATACTTCATGGTAGCCAACTAGGTTTTACTCAGAGCTAGCATTTGAATTAATAGACATAACTTAGAGTGCATCACACTTTTGCTTGACCCATATTTTGATTCCATTGTTTACCAATTACGGTAATTTCCCCGGGTCCAAGAGCTTTTCTTGGTTCAGAAGCCAGTAATTTTTCAAGGAAACTTGTGAAGTATTTATTATTCTATTCTATTCTATTCTATTCTATTCTATCCTATCCTATCCTATCCTATTCTATTCTATTCTATTCTATTCTATTCTATTCTATTCTATTCTATTCTATTCTATTCTTTAGAGCCTTAAAGTGCAAGCCTTTACTACCGAGAAATAAGTCCCACTGAATTCAAAGGAGCTTACTCCCAGGTTAACTGTGTAAAGATTGTGCAGTCTTATATTGCAAGCTTAAGTATTTTTACTCAGAAGTAAGTCTCACTGAGTTCAATAGGGCTTACTCACTGGTAAGCGCCTGATCATTATCACATTTCTGCTTCTGCTTCAACTACTCCTACTACTACAATATGTGTGTGTGAGGGGGTGCCAAACTGAGTCTTTGACCCGGGTGAAAGAAAGCCTCGTTTCACCCCTGCAAAAGAGGAAGGTCATCCTGGGGGTGCCCCAGGATAGCCAGAAAAGTAAGGGGGAAGCTGCGGGCAGGGAAAGGGAAGTAGCAGGAGGGGACAGTGGCTCAGTATCAAACCACAATTATCAGCTGGTCAACATGTGTCATAGAATCATAGAATCATAGAGTTGGAAGAGACCACAAGGGCCATCGAGTCCAACCCCCTGCCAAGCAGGAAACAGGCATAGTGTCAACGAGAAATGTGTACATAGTTATTCCCCATATATTCAATCAGCCTTTTCCAGTCTTCTTCAAACATATGTTCTTCTTGTTCTCTTCTTCTATATGTTAAGTTGACAGAATATGCGCAGCTTGCAGACTTAACATACGGAACATGCATTTCCCAGACACAAGGACTGCTCACCTTGACCACGTCCGAACGCTCCCCTTCGCACACACAGACATACGCCATCCACCATCCCAGGAAGAATGTCTGGGGACGCATTCGCTCACCAGCCGCTCTCCATTCATAAACACACACACACACACCCAGCTTCAAGCCATGAATCTCCACACCACTTCTGTCAACTGGCTTCCAAAGGAGACCTTCAATCAGCTGACATCTGCAGCACCTTCTGGCACCCACTGAATCCATGAATTTGTCCAGTCTTCTTTTAAAGCCATCTAGTTCTCTTTCTCACCCTGCCTTTCTATCCCTACCCCTCCAGCTTTTCCTCTCAGCGATCCATGTCTGCTTGTGACATCACAGAAACTTTGACTTCACCATAGCCATTACACTTTGACATCATCGTAGCCATTGGCAACAACTAGAGAAACACCTGCAACCCCCCCCCATTGGGAGGGGGCAAGAAAGAACACTAAACATGTATGCATTTAGAAACTTAGCATTGCATTTGTTTTACAGTGGTACCTCAGGTTAAGTACTTAATTCGATCTTAACCTGAAACTGTTCTTAACCTGAAGCACCACTTTAGCTAATGGGCCCTCCCGCTGCTGCTGTGCCACCGGAGCACGATTTCTGTTCTCATCCTGAAGCAAAGTTCTTAACCCGAGGTAATATTTCTGGGTTAGCGGAGTCTGTAACCTGAAGCCTATGTAACCCGAGGTACCACTATATAGGAAACCGGTCAGACACAGTTTTGCTTTTTTGAAAAAGGCATTTATTTAGGAAAATAAACTTCCTTGCTTGAGTCCTGCTGTTCTCTTCATTAGTTTCACGATCGGTCTCGGGGAAAACCTCACCGGCTTCCTGAAAGGCAAACACCACATTGAGTGGGATGGCCTCCGTCCAGCAGCCTCAGCCAGACCCTCCACTAGCTGCTGCCTGGCAACTTCACCCTGGACGTCCTGGTCAACTTCCGCTGGTTTCTGCCCATGAATATCCACTGGTTCCATTCACCCTGCGCCCAGAGGATGGCATCTGCCACCCCCTGAGCACGTATTTCCCAGCCACAACACTACTTACCTGGACCACGTCCGAATGCTCCCATTCACACACGCAGACACACACCATTCGAAACCTCCCATTTGCACTCGCAGACACACACCATCTGCCATCCCGTGAAGAATGTCTGTGGACGCATTCGCTCACCAACTGCTCTGCATTCCCACACACACACCCAGCTTCAAGTCATGAATATCCACACAGCTTCTGCCAACTGACTTCCAAAGGTGACCTTCAGC